ATAATAATCAAACGCATTAACGTCATAGAGAAAATAAACGGGGGGAGGGATAAAAGGAAAAGGAAAAAGTTTGTTTGAATTCTATGGAAAAAAATTGTGACGCCATTTAAATTTCATAAGTAATACTTTATTATTATTATTATTTTACAAAAGATTATTTTGAAAAAATGATGATGGTTTTTTAGATTTTTCCTTATCCGCTAATTGTTTTCCCTTTTTCAATATTTTAATGACTGCCGGCCTGTAGGGTGCAGGTTTTAAATCTTCGTGCAAAGTGCATTCGGGTTCTTTTTTAGGAAAAATGCTACCACCAGGCACGGATTTCGACGCGAACGATATCGATCTCATCACGTCCACGTCTCTACGGAATTTGTCGACAATGTCGCGATTTTCTTTTTCTCCGGCATAATAATTCAAATTGAAAAAATGTGCTTCGTATTCTATCTTTCTTGAATTTTTCGGTTTTATTCCTCTGTGAAGTTCGTTCAAACCTAAATTTTCGATGGATCTCAATAGTCCGCCTGATTCTATTACGTATTTGGCATTACGAGTCAGCACCGTTTTTAAAAAATCTCTGTTTAAATGTTTAACGAAAACTATTAAATCGTACAACGGCATTTTCCAAACCTGAAATGAAAAACAAAATTTTCAAAAAAAAAAAACTCACATTGTATAGATGAATATCGATTAGTCACTCAACCGCCAAAAGTTGTTGACAGCGCTAGTTTCGCTGTCACGTGATTTGAGCAGAAGAAAAATTGATTTTTTTTTTTTTCACGCGAGATCTTTCGCAGTCGGTTAGATTTTGTGCGGTTATATTCATTATTCACGCGAGTTTTATTACATAATTAACAGGTTTGCTTAAATAAAAAAATTTTTTTTAAAAGGTTGCGAAAATTTGAAAAACTTGGAAGACATTAAAGATTTTCTTCCTTTTTTTGTTAATGGAAAAAATTTCATTTCATTTCAAATCCATCCATTCAGTTTGGCGGCAACCACTGCGTAAGTAAACAACAGTGAATAATTTATTACAGTGCTGACCGTAGTTCATTTTTGACAAAAATCTTTTTTTAAAAACAAACCGAAAATAACTTTTAAAATAAATTTATATATAAATTTATATTCTACACCGCGGATAAAATGTCAAAAAAGCTAAGTATAATATTTGTGTAACGGTTTTTTTCTCTCTCTCTCAGACATGATCTTAAAACCTACTTCATAATCAAACCGTTTTTTTTTTTTAATTTTTCATCATCATCCAAATTTTTCTTTTATTTATAAAAAAAGGAAATATTTATTTTAGATTCCAGTAAAATATTCAAGTATTTATCATTTATCCGGGAAATTCACAAGGTTATTAAGATTATAAAAAAAAAACAATATTACATTTTTAAATCCATCATCACGTCACGTTTATATCTCATCGCTTATTAATAAATTATCATTATTATTATTATTATATAATTGTTTTTTAATAAACAAACAATTTGTTTTGTTAATTAGTAACACAAGTAAGTAAGTAAGTAGTACTTTAAGATATTGGTCAGTCATGTGTGAAAAAAATGAAAAGATAAAATAATTGCTTATCATAGAGAGTGAGAGAGAGAGAGAGAGACAGACAGAGAGAAAAATAAAAATAAAACTCGAGATTAAATTCAAGTTTTTTTAATTTATCACTCAAACAGATATTTTCTTCTGACACGAAAGCTCATTGTTTTGTTTGTTTGAAGACAAAAGACAAAAAAAATGTCTGATTGATATGCTATTTTACCTCCTCGTCTTACTCATTTCTCATAATCGCTATCAGACAACAATCAGACAAAGTAATTTGAATCGTTTTGTTTGTTTGTCAATGTTAGCAGAAGTCAAATTTGTTATTATACAAGCCAACAGCAGCAGCAGCAGCAATTAGATTTCATCTTCCTGTTTATTATTATTATTATTATTTTTTTTTTCGTATAGGCAAACAAATCGAAAATCTTGCTTGGAATTCTTACGTTTCGCAATCCAACATTCTTCAGATACTTGAACCTCTTTTAAACAATAAATTTATGTTGTTAATCAAAAATAGAAAAAAAAAATATTACATTCCGATTTGATGTCGTTATTCTTAAAACTGTTGTTGTTGTTGTTGTTGTTTGTCCATTGTCAAATTAAAAACAATTTTCGATCGAGTTTCTTTCATTACATTAAAAATTTCTTCCTTCTTGTCGTTTCGTTTCCTATATTTAAAACTATCTTTTATACACAATGGTATGTATGTGTATGTACCTTATAAAATAAACAAAAATTAATAAATAATATTTACTTTTTATTTAGGCTGGAATTTTTTTTTTTTTTTTTTTTACGAAACAAAACATCGATAATGGTAAACATAAAGTGAAACAAGAAGGCGAGAAATTATTATTTGAAATGATGAAATCGTAGCGAAACCTTTTGGAAAATATATATTTATTCTCGGAAAACTGGAAGGTACGTTTATCGCAAACGCTTTTAACTATTTATTATTAACGTAAAGTTCAAAATGATGGACTTTGATCAAGCATTGGAAGAACTCGGAGAATTTGGACGGTTTCAAATATACAATTATCTACTTTTTTGCCTTCCTGTTTTCTTCAGTGCCGGCAACAGTTTAACATATGTTTTCACCGCAGGAGTCCCAAATTACAGGTAATGTTGTTGTTGTTTTTTGATTTACGTGCGTAACGTTTTACGCTTTTCAAATTTTTCCCCCTCCAAAGGTGTCTGATACCGGAATGTGAAAATGAGACTTCGGCGAAATATTTAGAACCGTGGTTGGAAGCTGCCATTCCTCCTAATTTCAACACCGCTGCCGAAGATGATTACGTTCCCAGTCAATGTTTGAAATACGAACCGAAAAATATAAGCAGGTTTCAATGTGTTAAATCGGATTTTAAAGAAACTACGGTTCTTTGCGATTCTTGGGTGTACGAAGATGACGAATGGACCATCGTCGGAGAGGTTATTCATTTTTCATTGGTTTATATTTTTCCACCGTTGAGCCTTTCCCAATCGATTTAGTTGTAAAAATAATTTTGTTTGTTTTTTTTTTTTTTTTTTTTAATTCCTCGTTAATGATTTTAGTGGAACATCACCTGTTTGGATAAGCAATGGATGCTTTCTTTAGTTGGCACGGTTCATTTTATCGGTATTCTGATAGGTACCATGATATTCGGATACCTTGCCGACAGGTGGAATAAAATTTTCCTCTTTTTTTTTTCCCCCCCCCAACTGCTTTCGATATGTTAACTTCCAAGGTTTTAATTTTCGATTTCAGATACGGGAGAAAAATAATATTTGTATTTTGCATTATTCTCATGTCGACTACGGGAACGGCGCAAGCCATTTCTCCAAATTATATTTTTTTCCAGATTTTTGTTTTTCTCAACGCACTCGGAACGTCGGGAGTTTATCCTTTGGCTTTTATATTAGGTACAAATTTTATTATTTCCGTATTTTTTTCAAAATTTTCCTCCGCGATTCACTTTTTTTTTTTTTTTTTTTTTTTTTTTGTTTTTTAGGCGTAGAACTTGTCGGTAGAAAAAAACGAGAAATGAGTGGAGTGGTACTCAATTACTTTTATGCTGTCGGTGAAGCATTCGTTGGTGTGATAGCAGCCCTATCGAAAAACTGGGTCATTATACAATTGGCCATATCGGTTCCTCCAATTTTATTTGTGTTTTACTATTGGTAAGTTGAAAAAAAATTCAATAATAATTCGCCATAATAAAATTTTCCACGATGTTAAAGCGAATTAAACAATAAAAGCGCGCAAGTTTTACTTTTTTTTTTTTTTTTTTTTTTGTCCAGGTTGATACCTGAATCCGTTAGATGGTTATTAGCTAATAAGAAAAATCAAAAAGCTTGTGCCATAATTAATAAAGCGGCTAAAATTAATCAAGTCAATTTGTCTGCAAATCTTTTACGATCTATGGAAAATGTAAGATTTTCATTCTACCATCAATCAATCAATCAATCATTCAATATTTAATTTTAATTTAAAAACTTGGAATTTTTTTTTTTAGAAAGAAAATGACGACACGAGTCAAAATTCGTTAGAAGAAGGTAAAATTTGGGAATCGTTCAAACAATTGATCAAATCTAAAATATTGTTTTTTAGATCTTTTCTCCTGTTTTACATTTGGTAAGCGATCGATAATAATAATAATAATAATTAAATAAAAATGAAAGGTATTACTACTTACCGTTTAAAATTGAAATTTTAAAAGATTTTTTCCTTAGGGCTGCAAACGCGTTGATTTACTACGGGTTGTCGGTAAATTCTACGAGTTTGGGGGGAAATAAATATTTGAATTTTGCTTTGGTTTGCCTCGTGGAAATTCCCGGTTACACGGTATCCTGGTGGGCTATGAATAAATTGGGAAGAAGGTGGTCCTTAAGTTCTTCCTTATTCCTATGCGCTATAACTTGTATCGGAGCAGCCTTTGTACCTCAAGGTGACACGAAACTTTTAATGTCAGTTTATCTGGAAAAAAAAAAAAAAAAAAAATTAACTTGTTTTTATTTTCTAGATATGACTGCGCTCGTAATCATTTTATTCTTATTGGGAAAATTAGGAATTACGTCATCTTTTGGCATAGCTTATGTTTACACGGCTGAACTTTACCCTACGACTTTGAGGAGCATCGGAGTGGGATGTTGCTCAACAATGGCAAGATTAGGAGCTATTATAGCTCCTTTTGCACCTCTTCTGGTAATTTAATAAATAGAAAAAAATAGCTTCCCATTCGAATTCAGTTAAAAAATTAATTATTATTATTATTTTTTTTTTCATAGGCAATTTATAATTTTCAAGGCCTTCCTTTGATAGTTTTCGGAGTTGTTTCAATATTTGCAAGCTTATTAAGTCTTTTATTACCCGAAACCATAGGAACAATGTTACCAGATACAGTAGAAGAAGCAAAAAATCTTCGTCACGTGTCAAAAAAAAATTAAAAAAAAAATAAAAAAGAAAAAGAAAAATGATAAATTTTATTTTTGTAATAATATTTTTTATTTGATACATACATATACATATATTTTTTTAAATGACTTTTTACAGAAAAATAAAACTATAATTATTTTTTTACATATATTTTATTAATATTATTATTTTTCCGATGTCGAATCCAATCGTCGTCATCTTCGTCTTCAACAGTCAACATTATACCACCAATCGCAAACAAGAAAATTTTCATTAAACATTGTACCGTTGGGACAAAGCATTGCCGTCGTCGGACCACTTCCGGTACACATGTAAAATACCTAAAAACATAAAATTAAAATTAGAATGTTTTTCTTGTTTTCTTCAGCGACTGAAAAGAAGGAAATTCAACTTTCGTACCTGACATCTTGTTTCTTTATCGGCCATCATTCTGGGTTTACTATCTATAAAATTAGGACATTTAAATTTTGTCGGCGGTGGAAAACTATACACTGGATAATCGACTGCTGGAGTTCCTGGAATCACTCCCGATCGCTCTAAAAATTTTTAAATCAACTCATCAAACGTGCACTACTTATTTAATAATTTATGGAAATCGATTCATTTTGGAAATGTTGTGAAAATGCTACTTACCCGAACGTCCGATGAACGTCAAACTGGGAAATTGTTCTTTTCTATAATAAGAACTTTCTTCCGCGGTAAGTTTTAATAAGTTTTTATTATTACCGATTTTTCCGGTCGTTTTTCTTTTATTCCAATTTTCATCATCATCGTTATCCGCAAAATATTTGGCACTGTTGAATTTGACGGTTCCCCGAAATGGAGATTTTGAATTTTTAGATTTTTTACCGGCGTTTATTTTCGTCGTGTATTTATTATGTTCGTCGCTGTTGTACTCGGGGATTTCAGACGAAATGGAATAATTTTTTAAAAAATCTTCGTTGTTTTTATTTTTTTTTTCTTCTGATAAATCAACTGTTCGGTTCAACGTCGAATATTTCCACATGTTTGCTATTATTTTATCTCTATCCTTTTCGTGAAACATGTCTTGAACTTTTTCCAATCTTTTTTGCAATTGCTTTTCCAAAAATTTTTCCTGCGGTTTCGTTTCGTTTTTTTGCCTCAAAACGACTTCATTTCTAAATTTCATTCTGAGCTCTTTGTTTTCGTCGTATGGCGACAATAATTTTCTAGGTTTTTCATCCGTTATGTTCTTCAATATTTCCGAAAACGTTTTGACGGATACGTTTCCGACGGTTTCTTTTAAATTTGACGATGCTATGTATTTGGTGAGAGACTGTTGTAAAAATCTATCGACGAAATCCGATTTCTGATTATTTTTTGTTTTAACCGTTTGAAATAAATTATCCGGGTGTTGTTCGTTTTGCGTGAGATCTCGCCATTTTGTTCTTCCCCTATTTTTCCTTTGACCTTTTTCACGGGTCACATTATTATTACTTATTCTAAAATATCCTATACCTTGATACGGCCACGCTCTATTCGGAGTCGGTTCCAAATGAATTTTTTGACGATTTTTAAGTTTTTCGTAATTATGAGACGACCAAATCGCTGTCGGATATTTAAATGTTGTCGGTTCGACTGGAGCAGGCAGAAAATTTTTATAAGCACTCGTTCGAACGTAGTCTTGAACTGCTTCCACGACCCCTATTTGACTGATGTTCGATCCTTTCATTTCTTTTTCCAAATCGCTTATGTTTTTCTTTAAATTTTCTTTCATCGATTCCTCCATTCGATTGTGAGTGGCGGACGTGTTTAGTATCGAATTTTCCGTTTTCCGATTTTCACTTACGTCTTGAGGTTCGTTAAAATAATTTTTAAATATATATTCTTGAGACGGTGGTTTAAACGCGGTATTTTTCACTTCTATCATTTTACCCTGAACCAATATAAAAAATAAAAACACTAAAAAAATCATTTTACAATAAATACAACCAACTCCGATCACGATTAATTTAAAACTGATGAAAAATAATAATAATAAAAAAAAATAATAATAATTATTAAAAAACCGTCCTTTGTGATTCTTCGACCGAATCTTTTTTTTTTTTTTGTAAGAAAATTAAACGGGGAGTTTAAAGGATTTCCTATGGTCAAAATCATACTCTCCCACTAGGAGAAGAGATTTTCCTTTATTTTCTTATCATTTTAAATATCTTAAAGGTTTTAGAGGAATGAATTAATGTTGTTGTTGTTAATCTCAAATAATTTGTAAATTTGGGTTAAGGTAAAATTAAAATAAACGAAGAACTACTACCAAAATAAATAAATAAATAAGAAAGAAAATATAATTAAGAAATTTTATACAATTTTATCTCTGCGATTTTTTTTTTTTTTTTTTTTTCTATTAAAAAGACACGGGTTATGAACTCATTGTAAAAATAATAATAATAATAATTTTTATGCATAAGAATAATAAAAGAACAAGTAAAATCTCACACATCCTATTTAAAAAATTCATTAAGTAACAATGGTTGCAATGTCTTTTTTAAATAAAAATTTTTTTTTTTTTTTTTTTTAAAAACATATTTTTTAATTAATTATTTAATTATATAATAATAAGTGAAAATTTCTTTTTTTTTTAAAGTGTGTATTTCATTTTATTTTTTTTTAAATTTATATAAATATGTCAGTAAATTGATTTGAAAATTTTTTTTCATATATATATATAAAGTCTACTCGTAGTTTTTCTTTTATGTTTTCGTTTTAAATTTGTATTTACTTATTCGTTTTATCAATAATTTATTTGACATGATATTAAAAGAATTATATATTTATTATAAATTATTATTTATATTCAAATCAAATTCTAAATTGTAATAATTTTTTTATTTATCATTAAGTTTCTTTAACGACAGCATTTTTGTTTAAAATTTTTTTTTGAATTTTACTAAGATTTTCAAATTTGTTTCAATTGAATTATGTAACACTGATTTTAAATTATTTTTTTAGAAATCAATAAGACTTACAAAATACTTTCCCTCTAATTTATGTAAAATGTTTAAAAATTTTGTCGACTAACAAAAAAAATTAAAGCAAAGTATGTCGAAAGCAATGGAATAATTTCAATTATTTAATTTTTACATCAATTAAAAGATATAAAATTACTGTTTTGTTAATGTTTTTTTATTATGGAGTTTATAAAACTTGTAAAGAAAGATTTGTATATTTCAAAACATAGTTAAAAGTTAAAAAATGTTTTTATATCATTGGTTTTTTTCTTAAATATTCTATTCGCATTTGAATCAAAAATAGAGAGAAAAATTTTTGGTAATTTAAATTAACTGAATGAATGATTTAAAACTTTTTATGAAAATATAGGGCAGAAGGAAAAAAAAGTGAGATAAATTTTAAAATTAAGAAAGCCTCCAATAATAATTAATTAATAACATTAAAAAAATAATACTTGAAAGAGTAAACCTAACAAAAATAGGTTAAGTAATCTATTAATTCTTTAAAAATAAAATGCTTTACTTTTAAAATTTTGTCTTATGGAAGTTAATAAGGGCAAATTTGTTTTTTTTTCTGTGAGTATTTTTTATCATATACTACAAGACTCACCTATTTAAATCCATTTCGTCAATTAAATTTATTTTATGGAAAAATGTACTGTAACTAAGCAGAATAAAAGTTTAATAGTTTCTTACACGAACTTTTCTCATTACACGAATTTAAAATAAAATAATGTTATAATCAATTTTAAGATATTTTATTTTGATGTGATTCAAAATAAATGATTAATTATAGTATAAATTGAAAAATTAAAAGTAAAAAACAAGAAAAAAACAAAAATTTTTAGGTAAATAAAAAATGACCTAAATTTTAAAAGTCGTTACATTCAAATTTCTACAACCACGATACTTATTTAATATTTAACTTACCTATTGTTGATACCTTAATGTGGAGCGCAAGTTTGCGTTTCGTTAAACAACAAACCGGTCGCGAAAATTGTTACTTTTTTTTTTTTGAAAATATGAGTCGTCGTAAAAGGCAAAAGGCATAGTATTTTGATTATTTGATTTATTTTTAATAATTTTATGATATTTAATCACAAATTATTTTTTATTTTTATTAATTTTGCCAAATTATTAATAATTAGTTTCATTTGGACTTTCATGTCATATGTTTCAAAGGGTAAAAAGCAATTAAATAATCATCCCCTATTTTAGGTCGACTTGGAAGAAAAAGTAGAAGATGTGAGCGAATCTAAGAAGCAAGATCATTCTCTTAATGAAGGTAATGTCAATCAAACTACGTCTGGAGTTCAAAATTCTCCAGAAAATGTTAAAACTGAAAAAGATGATGACAACGATTTGGGGGATTCGGAACAGAATGATCCCACGGATTTAGAAGGCGCAGCTTTTGCCAGTAGATTACCTTTTGATAAAATGACAGCTACAGAGGCTGCTTGTTTCCCTGATGTTGCTCAGGGGTTGCCTCAAACTCAGAAAGTATTTTTACATATTCGTAACAGATTGTTGCAACTTTGGTTTGATAATCCAAAAGAACAATTATTATTCGACAATGCTTTGCCACTGGTTGAGCCTCCATACAATACAGATGCGCCTTTAGTTATGAGAATCCATGCATTTTTAGAAAGACATGGCTTTATCAACTTTGGGGTGTTTAAAAAATTGAAAAGCCCCCCTGTTAAGAAAATAGGTAAAGTCATTGTCATAGGAGCAGGGATTGCAGGATTAACAGCTGCTCAACAACTTCAGCAGTTTGGAATGGATGTAATTGTTTTGGAAGCAAGAGATAGAGTTGGAGGACGCATAGCAACATTTCGTAAACATAATTTTGTTGCCGATCTTGGTGCCATGGTTGTAACAGGATTGGGTGGTAATCCGATGTCTGTTTTATCAAAACAAATTAATATGGATCTAAGGAAAATTAAACAAAAATGTCCTTTATATGAGTCAAATGGTAGTACTGTTCCTAAAGTTAAGGATGAAATGGTGGAAATGGAATTTAATCGATTATTAGAAGCGACAAGTTATTTATCTCACCATTTGGATTTTAATTACATAAAAGACACACCTGTTTCTTTAGGCCAGGCTTTAGAGTGGGTTATCAGGTATTTGACTCGTTATATCTTTCCTTGTTGATTATATTAATTTCTATTATAATAATACTAAACTATTCACATTGTAATTTATTAAAAAAAAAAAATTGTATTGTATGCAAACTTACTCCATTCTAATATTTATTTTCTTTTAAAGTTCAAATAAATACTTTTATGAGACTTGTAAACAAAAATTTGTTTTTCTTCACTTTTAGATTACAAGAGAAAAATGTAAAAGACAAACAAATTCAACATTGGAAAAATGTTGTAGCCCTACAAGAAAAATTAAAAACAAATATTACAAAAATGTCTTCGTTGAGAGAAAAAATGAAAATATTAAATAAAGAAATAAAAGAAATAAAAGAAACATCTGATAAAAAAAATTCAAAAGACATAAGTGAAATTTTTTCATTAAAATCAAAAATCTATGAATTAACAGAAGTATGTAAAACTTGGGATTCGCTCATAAAAAAACAAGATGAAATAGAGAAAAAACTTCAAGATTTAGAAAATTCTTCTCTAAGGTATTATATCAATGTAAAGCTTGACAAGAATTTATTTATTTTTAAAAGTATTTACCGTTGCGTAAAAAAATTTTTTTTTTGTTTTGTAAAAAGGTGTAATTTAAATAATTTTTGTATCAAAATATTATGCTTATGGTAACATTTTTCTTTTTTTTTTTATAATAGAAAATGTTGGTGTAAATTTTTTATAATATTTAAGTAAAAGATGAATATTAATTCATTTTTGGATGATTATTATTTAAAATGTTATTTTTGATAATTAATTATTTTCAAAATTGACAGTCGTTGTAAGATTATATTATTATTATTATTTTTTCATTCCAGTGATGTGTATCTTTCGTCTCGCGATCGTCAAATTCTCGATTGGCATTTTGCAAATTTGGAATTTGCCAATGCGACACCTTTAAATAATTTATCATTGAAACATTGGGATCAGGATGATGATTTTGAATTTACGGGCAATCATCTAACAGGTAAGTTTTTTTTTAAATTTTATTTTTTTTCTCATTTACAATTGCTTCGGAGATTTGAAATTTGTTTATGGGTTTAAAGGATTGAGAAATAATTAATTAATTAATTGATTGATTTTCCGGGAAAAATCCAAATTATTTTACTTTTAAAATGAAGAAGAAAAATTTTTTTTTAACAATTGTCGAATTCGGGTACCGTATCGAAGGATTAACTTGTTGAATGAATGAATGAATGAATGAATGAATACACTACTCGTATCAATTTTAATGTCTTTTGATAAAACAATCGTAAAGGATTTTATTATTATTATTATTATTATTATTCGCTTCTTTGTAAATATTTACATTAAAATTTAACAATCGGGTCAAATCCTAATGAAATAGAAAGGAGGAAGGACACTCATAAATTTCACGTTGTTATATCAGTAGATAATTATTATTATTATTATTATTTTCTGTTCACATAATTATTATTATTATTATTTATTTTTTTTCTTTTTTTTGTAAAACGTGTGATATTTATTATTCTTTCACTGATTTTATTTAAATTATTTAATTCTTTTTTTTTTTTTTTTCTTTTTTGTTGTTCGTGGAAACAAAAAAAAAGTTTTCGGGGACGACGTTTGGGGGGGGGGCCTAATGCGCGATTCGTATTTAACAACAAAATTTTAATTTGAAAAATTTAAAATGGAAAAAATTTATGGAATTCATTCGTATTTTGTTTCGCCGCCACGAATATTTAAAAAAAAAAAAAAAAAACTTTTTGTACTAATAAATAAAAGTAACGGGTATTGTTATACTTGAGTCATCAATCAGTTGAATACATTGGGCAACCAGTTTTCTCTCTCTCTCTCTCTTCTGTTCGGTGTATTTTATTCATCTTTATTTGCTTGTAATTTTTATATACCACTTATATATATCTTTTCTCGTGTCGTCATGAATCACAGTCAGTCCTTCACAACCTGGTGGTTTACTTAAATTTTTAGAAATGCCTCTAAAGAATCACCATGATATTTTTTGTTTTTAACTGTTTGTTTACCTTTTAAAAAGTTCCGTTATTGAATAACATTATGAATTAAGCGTTGTAAAATGTGCGTCAATCAAATTGTTTTAAAAAAAAAATTAAACCTATATTAAATTATTTTGTCAGAAGCCTCCTCCTCCTTTTTTTTTTTAAGAATTAAACATTGAAAAGTTTAACTTGGCGGGGTCCCTTTTTCCGGTTCCCGGGAAAACTTTGAGAATTTTTTTGGAAGAAGGGTGTGTTGTTCGGTTTAAAAAATTTCTATGATGGCCGATCGTTTATTTTTTTCGGTTTTATTTATAAAATGAAATATGCGTGCGTTACGTGTTTGTTTGCGTGCGTGTGTGTGTGTGTGTGTGTGTGTGTGTGTGTGTGTGATGAAAAATTTTTAATATAATAAAAATAATTGATAAAAATTTTGGTCGGTTGAAAAAAAAAATGCCCCTAAGTTGAAAACGTTACGTTCACCTTCAAAAAAGTTGGAAGAGTTCGGGAGAGACAAACTGATTGCCCACCATACTAATGTTGAAGACACATTAATTGCCCAGGTTTGAAAAAAAAAAAAAAAAATTTTTAATGTATTACCTTAATGACAGCCTTGTTTGTTTCTTTTTTTTTTTTTTTGTTCTCCTTCTTTTTTTCTCCAAGTTCTTTCTTTCTTTCTTTCTTTCTTTCTTTCTTTCTCTCTCTCTCTCTCTCTCTCTCTCTCTCTCTCTCTCTCTCTCTCTCTCTCTCTCTCTCTCTCTCTCCGTTTTAGCGGATAATTACTTATTATCTTTTTATAATTGTAGCTTTTAAATATTTGACGGTTGGTCGTTGGTTTTTGTATGTGTGTGGATTAGGTATGGCTTTTCATTAAAATTTTTTTTATTTTTTATTATCATTATTAAAAAAAAAAAAAAAAACAATATTTATTTTTTGATTGAGGTCATATGAAAAGGTTTGATTACTCGATTGATGATTGACTTGAAAGTACAAAAAAAAAAAAAAAAAAAAATCCAATAAAAGAAAAAATGGGGAGTTAAATCAACCGTGTATAAGTGGTATAAAGATTTTTTTTTTTTTTGCCGTAAAAATGCAATGTGCAACGCATGGCAAAGCATATCGACATAGGAATTTATTTCTTCAATCGTTTTTTTTTTTTTTTTTTTTGTTATTCTATTGATAAAAAGGTTTTTAATCTATGAATTCATTGACGAAGGTAGTAAAAACAAACGTGTCGTCGCTAGTTTCAAAGGTTTCGATTAAATTTTTCTCGTTTCCTATTCGATATGACAATCGATGATCGTTTTTTAAATGAAAATAAAGAAAAAGTAATGATGATGATGGTAGTGTTGATATATTATGCGATACAGATACGGAAATGAGGATGGCCGCGGAGTAGGGGGAGGTTGAAGAGAAGGCGGTGGCTAAATAGGTAATAAATTTTCCAACGTTTAAAGAGATTCATTTGTTAAAGGGGAAAACCCTGTTTGTGTGTGTGCTTGCGTGCGTGTGCACGTGTGTGTTTACTTCTTTTTTTTTTTTATTGCTCTGCCTTTCAGGTATATGCCATTTCTTTTGCGGTTTCTATATGATTGACTCCATCGCATGTTTCCATATTATTTTTATCAGGTGAAAATTATTATTAGGTATCGTTTGTTGCATTTTTTTTTTTTTTTTTTTTTTTACCCCTGAAGAACTTGAAGAAATTTCAAAATAAAATTTTTTTTTTTTTTTTCCAATTGTAATATCGTATTTTGTTGAGATAATAATGATAATAATAAAAGAGGGGAGTAATTAAAATTTGCGGGGGAAAAAATATTAAGACTAATAATAATAATAATAATGAGTTTTTTTTTTTTTTTTTTTTGTTAAATTGAAAAATAAATTAAGTATACAAATGTGAGAAAAAGTAAATTAATTTATGATAGGATCTATACTAGGTAGGAATAATAATAATAATAAATTGTTGATTTAGAAATTGACGTGGAAAAGTTTTTTTTTTTTTTTTTTTTCAATTTTCGAAAACGTCAATCTGTCAGATTTGATTTCCCGGCAGATTTTTTTATTTTTTTATTTTTATTTCGCACGATTTGTTTTTTTTTTTTCTTTTTTTTTTGTTCTTCATTTTATTTTATATTTTTAAATAATTGAAAAGAATGAGAGAGAGAGAGAGAGAGAGAGAGAGAGAGAGAGAGAGAGAGAGAGAGAGAGAGAGAAGGTAAGAAGAAAAGGGAAAATAAAAGTTTTTTTTTTGATTATTTCAATGGTTTCGATACCCTGGGGTTACGTTTTTGAAGTTGAATATTTCTTATAATTTTTACCCTTAGGAGAAAGAAGAAGAAGAGGGAAGGGGGAGGAAAGGGAGGGGAAGAAGGGTATCCGTAGGCAAAAAGAGAAGAAAGCTAAAAACTCGTTAAAAGTTTGATGATAATTTTCGTTTATTAAAATTAATATCAAGTACTCGAAAAAGTAGTAACTTGAGCTTCTTTTTTTTTTTTTTTTTCATTCATTTTTTGTTCGCGCTTTAATTTTTGGATTTTTAATTTCTCAAGAGAGTAAGAAAAAGAAAGAAAGAGAGAGAAGAGAGAGAAAATGGTGCGAAGCGAAGTTTTTTTGATGTTTCAATTTAACGGGAAAAAAAAAAAATTAAGAAAAGAAGAAAGGAAAGGAAAGGGAAAAAATTCTTTTATAATAAATAAATTTTTCATTACATTTACATGAAAAAAGAAAATTTGAAAAGTTTTTTTTTTTTCTAAAGGGAAAAGTGTGAAAATGAAAAAGAAAATTAATCGTTTATTGTTTGAATTATTTCAATGATGATGATGATGATGATGATGATGATAGATTAATATCGCAAAGGAAAACGTTTCGGTTAAGGATTTTCTTTTTTTTACGTGGGGACAATCTTTTATTATTATTATTATTATTATTGTTTTTCGTCCATTGAAACTAACTATTCTTTAACTTTTCCTCTCTTTCTTTCTTTTTTTGTTTAATTAACGTATTTTTTTTTTTTCTTAAATGGAGAAAAACGTTCTCAGAAATATTTTAATTCATTCACTGCAAAAAAAAAAAAAAAATTCTCAACCGAACAAAAATTTTGGGAACAATGGAGTTTAATATTGTATACAAAAGTATTCTCGTACTCGAAATTTCTAGAACGACATGAAAGTTTTTTTTTTTTTTTTTCTATTTAACAAAGTGAAATAAGTTTTGCTATAAAAGTTGTTGTTTTTAATAATAATAATAATGATAATAAATGAGAGAAAATGAAACGGTACGTTTTTGTAGGGAAATTGTTGTTGCGTTGGGACGTCGTCTGTGTGTGATCCCGATTATTTTCCCGACCGAAAGATTTAACGTTTCAATTTATTAATTTCGTGACGTATTAAACGAAAAAAAAAAAATGGCGACCGTAACAGTTTGTTATGATTATATTTATTCGTAAATAAAAAAATCAGTTTTTGATAATAAAAAAAAAAAAACAAAAAATCTTTGCCGTGCCTTAAAGCCTGCCTTTGGTAAAAAAAAAAAAAAAAAAAAAAAAAAAAAAAAAACTTTATACGGGAAAAATATAATTGGGGGGGGGGGGGAGGGGAAGGGGAAGGTATTGAAATAATCGCCCACGATCATTTTTAACACGTTAAATGCATTTTCATTATTATTATTATTATTTAAAAAAAAAAAAATTTTTACCTCGAAACACGAGTAACGTAATTTTTTATTATTTATTGCTTTGTTTTTGGTCGATGAAAAAAGTCATCCGTAGGATATCGGTGATTGATCGATCGATCGATCGATCGATTGATTGATTATTGATATTCATCGTTTGGAATATATACGGTGGAGAAAATAATTAATAAATTTTGTTTATACGAACCGTGTTTAAATAAAGAGCGCGTAAAAAAAAAAAAAAAAAAAAAAATTTATAGTCTTAAAATAATTTTCCTTGCGCAAGAAAATAATAATAATAATAATTATTATTATTATTATTTTTTAATGGTTGTTATTGTTATTGTGTGTAAAACCTAAAACAAACGGTTTACTTAAAAATCCTGGATAATTTTTCAA